CCCGCCCGGGGGAGGAGGGGTGTTTGGTATTTTTGGTTAAACCATCTGGCAAGCCTAGATCCAAACAAGCTGGGGATCACATCCAGCCCCCAAGCCTGAGATTCCACACCCCTGTTCTGGAGTTTTTAAAAGTTATTTGTTCTCAGCAGAATTGTATAAAAGTTTGATTAGTTAAAGTGCTCTGAGAAACTCAGAGAATGATAAACTGAATACATGTTGGAAAATGGGCAAGTTCACCAATACCATATTGAAGTAGTAACAAAGTGTGTGTGTGGGAGGGGGGAATAGCTAGTATGATAGTACTGAAATACAAGGAGGGCCGGGAGAAGGAAATAAATCCCAAAATGAGTTAAAGAATTTTTAAAAATAATTTAAGCTAACTAGAATGGGCTACAAAACTGATTTTCAAACAGACTATTTAGCACCCACTTTAAAATTATTCAGACATTACATCAAAAAGACAATCAGCACTTGAAATGATAACAGCAAAATCTATACAGGGAAAATGATTATAAGGAGTCTGACTGAGAAATGGTGTTTACAGGGAGTTTGGTTCCAGGATATTTTACCTAATACTGTTTTGAACAAGGTAGTTTTTTATAAGACAACAATATACAAATGCCAACAAAGAAAAAACTGTTCATGTATCTGCTAATGAGGTTTGGGCCTCATTCTTGTAAGTGTAATAAACTAAGAAAGGGACAGAACAGAAGGGTAATGAGCCAGGGAGATGGTTCATCCAAGGCAAAAATGTACAGAACTTAATATTTTAGACAATTACATTTGCAATAGATATACTGCACTGAAATTTAAACTATCCAATTTTTTTTTCAAAACCTGGGGTTATCCTTTGGGCTGAGGTCTATTACGGCAAGGTACAAAATCCCATATGATGACTCCAACACAGATATATTCGCCATCATAAAACTGTCTTAAAATCCAGTTGCATGTTATACAATTTACCATCCTTGTTCTTTTGATCACTTGCATTTTAATTACGTGCAAGAGATGACAACTTTGTAGGATGCATAGTTTAAAAATCAACCCACAAAGAGAAGCAGCTTATGACGTTTTAAATGTAAAACTACACTCTTACCAGCAGAGATGATAGAAAGAGACCATTAGTCTTTCTAAATAGACTATTTCATACACAAAGATCCTGCATTAGGAGCTGCTAACAGACTCTTGTGGGCATGGAATTTCATTGATGTGCATTGCTCTACATAGGTACAAAAGTTTAGCCCCGTGGCTCTTGATTCAGGTTCAGGGCCCAAAACTAGATTTCTTCTTGCTGTAAATTGTTTTATCCTGCATAATGCAATTTAGCTATAAAAACGTCAATTAAATATACAGCACAAATATAGTTTTACCATTATAATGGAAATGTATACTAGATGATCTTTAAAAATAGTTATTTCAGATTTGTTTTATATGTATAGGTCAGTAATTATTTGCATAATATTTGCTAATGTATTTTTACATAGAGATTTAGGAAATTATAGTCTGTCTATTGGCCAAAAATTCTACTCAATTACACTGAATAAATACTTAATCTGTATTTATCCAATGACTGACCCAGTTGTAATACAGAATATCACCCTATTTCAGCAATTTGAGAAATGTTTTTCAGGAGAAAGCATACTCTTATATAAAATAAGCTTTCCTACCTCTAAAAAGATTTTAATACTGCTTTCAGAGAAACTCTCTACAGTCTGCAACACTGATGAACTACACAACCTGTTTCTAAAATTTACCTGTCAGGGGTTTTTTTTTGTTTGTTTGTTTTTGACACAAACATTTACAATCACCAAATACGATTATCACTGAAACAAAAAAGCCACTTTACTCAGCAAGACAAAAGAGTCACCTTTTCTTTAACTACTAACAAAAGATAGAGCAACACATTCTACATAAGACCATATACTGCACTTTCACCTCAAGAACATGAGGATTTAGTACTACTGATTAAGTCTATATCAAAGATGAAATAAAATTGTTTAAATCAGCTTGTATTTTAACAAGGAAAGACATTTAAAAAACATAGCATTTAGATTCACATCAGCACCAGAAAGCAACACAGTAAAATATGTATGTTCATTAAGCAAGAAAAGGAGTTCACATACCTGAGATTAACACAAAATATATCTGTAGTTTTCCAGATCTACTTTAATTACAAGTTTCCCAGTGCTGATACAGTTTGAATTTCTTGAACACCACATCCAGGCAAAAAAAGTCAGTTTTCATCTATAACAGATATCAAAGAGGGTGGGAAGAGTGAACACGTAATTTTAAAAAGCTGGTTTAGAAATACAACTCTAAAAATCACCATTTGCACTCAGAGGATATGCTGCCTGTACAGTAACATATAACATCACAATCTACCTAATTACTTTCAGCTGTTCGTCATGTGGTCTTGCTGACTGATCAAGTGACTTCTTTCCCTCCTTTCACAAGTCTAGCAATCCAGTTAACTAGCCCATCCTTTACCAAGTACGAATGTACCAAACGTTTGCTTAAACCAGGGAGAAAGTCTGAATGTGTGTAGCTAACAGACTGTTTTTCATTTTATTTTTTTTAAATAAAACAAGCTACAAAAGATTGGTTGCCTATTACTGTGAAGTTTGGTCTTTTTATTTTTTGTATTTTTACAAATATTTATAAATGTCATCAGGCAGCATCAAGCAAAAGCTCCTCAAATGTAATGAGCAACATCAGTTTCAAGCATGCTGAGTCTACATCTTTCTTTACAACTGATCATAACAAAAACAAACAACTTCGTTAAAGAGAGACAGGGAAATTTTCAGGTTAAGAGAACTTTAATAAGTGTTTAACCAATCCAACAATGAGCATCAGATGGACAGGCCCCTCCCCTCACAGAGTACCACTGCAATCATTTCTGCATGGGTACAGGAATTTACGTACCTAGAGTTGTTGCACGACTGGGGTATTAACCATTAACTAAATATTTTTCTTATAATCTTTTTATAGTTAAAATGGGATTAGAAGCATTTCATCAGTATTGAAAATTTGCAGAGTGTCCATGATTTACTTCCATTCTTCCCATACAAAACACATAATACTAAGCATGATAGCCTAGTACATACAGATGTTTCCTCCTCACAAAATAATGTTGCAGATTACATAGAGAACTATACTCTGTAGTCCCATTTTACTACAGTTTTCTGACTTAAAACTAAAAACTTTAGTTAGCAGTGTTGCAGTTCTATTATAGATGTAACCTCTTCTATGGGAAGAGGAACTGAGGATTACAGTGGATGAAGCTGGGTATGAGTCAACAGTGTGCCCTTGCAGCCAAGAAGGCGAATGGCATTTTGGGGTGCATAAGGAGGAGCATTTCCAGCAGATCTAGAGAAGTTATTATTCCCCTTTTATTCAGCACTGGTGAGGCCACAACTGGAGTATTGCGTCCAGTTCTGGGTCCCCCAGGGTGGAAAGGATGTGGACACATGGGAAAGGGTCCAGCGGAGGGCAACCAAAATGATCAGGGAGCTGAAGCACATGGCCTATGAGGAGAGGCTGAGGGATTTGGGCTTATTTAGTCTACGGAAGAGAAGAGTGAGGGGAGACTTTATAGCAGCCTTCAACTTCCTGAAGGGAATTTCCGAAGAGGAAGGGAGGTTCTCGGTAGCCACAGATGGCAGAACAAGGAGCAATGGTCTCAAGTTCCAGTGTGGGAGCTTTAGGTTGGGTTTCACGAGGAGTAATGGTAGTTCGGAATAGGAAGCCTAGTCCGCACTAGCGGACATTTAAAAATGGTGGCGCCCGGCGAGATGCAAATGAAGCCCGGGAAATTCAAATCCCGAGCTTCATTTGCAACTCTGGTTGCCTACATTACCACCCTAGTTCGAACTAGGGTAGTAGTGTAGACATACCCTCACACATAAATTCCATGCTCAGTGCTGGCATCATTGTACACATGCCTGCAGCATTGTGTCACTGGCAAATTAGTATACAGCGATTGCCAAAACCCCACCTATACTGTCCCTTTACATTAGCTCAGTCAGAATGACAAGTTTAAAAGTAGCAGGGTAGTGGTAGCACTGCAATTTTTTATTGCAAGCAAGGGAGCCGACAGGCTTGCCAGGCCTCTGAGTAAGGTAGGGGGGAGGCATCTTTGCGTTCTTGGAAGGGGCGAGGCCTCTGGTGGAATGGGCATGGTTGGAGGCAGCCAGCCCTCAGCCCTGCCTAGAGCACACTGCACTGGCCAGCCCAGTCAGCTCTAAAAGCCATTTGCCAGTGATTTAAAGGGCCAGAGGTGCTGGCTGCTGTCACTCCAGGATCCCTGGACCCTTTAGAATTGCTGGGCCCCAGGGCAACTGCACCATTTGGCCCCACATATACCCTTCAGCAAGCCTGTGAACAGTGGGAAGCTAAACAGGAAAATTAAGACAAAGCTATAGGGCAGGGGTGGGCAATAAGTTTTGGTGGGGGGCCACTCCAAGATTTTGGAAAGTGGTCAATGGCCACACTTTCCTGTGGAAGAGGTGCGGGATCTAGGATGGAGGTTCTGTGCAGAAAGGCGCACGGGGTAAGGGTGCAGGAGATAGTGTGAGGTCTGAGAGGGAGTTTGGGAGAAGGAGGGGGTTGCAGGAGAGGATTCTGGCCTGGGAGAGGGGCTCTAGGAGAGAGTGCAAAGTCTGGGAGGGAATTGTGACCTAGGAGAAGGGGAAAATCAGGGTGCAGACTGCAGAGGGTTTGGGCGGTGACCTGGGGCAGGGGAATGGGGTATAAGGTTGGGAGGGAGTATGGGTACAGGAGAGGATTCTGCCTGGGAGATGCGGGAGGGATGGGAGGTACAGGGTCTGGGAGGGAGTTGTGACCTGGGGCAGGGGAATGGGGTATAAGGTTGGGAGGGAGTATGGGTACAGGAGAGGATTCTGCCTGGGAGATGCGGGAGGGATGGGAGGTACAGGGTCTGGGAGGGAGTTGTGACCTGGGGCAGGGAAGTGCAGAGGGTTTGTATGGTGACGTGGGGGAAGGAGTTGGGGTGTGGGAGGGGCAGGGGTGTCAGAGGCAGGCTTTGGCTGGGAGGTGCTTTCCTAAGTGTCTCCCAGTCAGCAGCCCTGCAGCACCCCCAAGGCAGGCTGGTCTCCCTTATTGCTGCAGCCCCAGACTGCATGAAAATTCAGGCTGCTCCCTCCATGTGGCTCAGCTGCAGGAGCAGGGAGAGGCTTGCACTGCCCCATCCCTGAGAACAATCTGTCAGCTCCTACTGGCTGGTTGTTTCCAGCCAATCGGAATGGAGCAATTGGTTGGTGTCAGTTCCTATTGGTCAGTTGTTTCCAGCCAATAGGAGCTGAGGATTGGGCTGAGGAAGTGGAGATGTCACAAAGTCTCCCCCTCCTTCACAGCAGAGAGGCAGCAGATAAGCCCTGTACTTGAAACAGTAGCTGCTGCATGCCTGAGGATCCTGGCAGAGGGGTCTGTGGACCGAATCTGGTGGCTTGGTGGGCCAGATCTGGCCTGAGAGAGGTATCTTGCTCACCCCTGCTTTCGGATATAAACCTAGAGGGGATCAAGACCCAAGAAGAGATTCCCATGAATTTATGCGAACTGAAATCATCAAAATTTTCCACAGCTCTATAGGATCCTCAGAATCACTAACAGGCATATATTGAAGTGATTTTTTTTAAAAGGTCCTAACTGATTAGACACTTAAACCACATCTTCTCCAACAGATGCCTGATTATCTTTATCTTCACTCCCTTTCTTCAGTTTCTTCGAGGCGCTCTCATTTTTCAGCTATAGAAGACTTCCAAGTTTGTTCTCTGACTTCATTACTTAAAGCAGGGTGAGTAAAACATCCCATGGTGTAGAGGGCCGACCTGCACTATTTATGGTCTTCTGCACCATTTATTCATATCCATTCCAGATGGAGCAGCCAGGCAATAAGATTTCCCCATTCCTTCCATCCCCAAATAGATCAGCATGGAGGCAGGTTAGGTCAGCATACTGTGGAGCCACAATTACAGAGATCCAGTAGTTTTAACTCTTTGAATAAATAGAGCAGAGACTTATTTAAGGTAGGATGGCTTCTAGCAAATAAAAAAAGCATTATGGTTGGCATCATAAGTCTCCATTTGTACAATATTTTTAAGATACAAAGAACTAGGAACTGACTGAAGAGATGTCTGAGGTATTAGCTACAGGCTTGACACCCCTAGTCCCGCACCCTGGAGGCCTGACCAGCTCTGAAGGAGGAAGCCTGCTGTTACGCCTCACCCGCGTGGGTCTAGTCCGTGTTGCTCCGAAACGATTCGGGGCGATGCGCTGACCGCTGCCGGCAGGGTGGGGTCCGGGCCCTCCCTCACTCCCAGACCCCGGCCCATGGCCTTAACACCAGGAGTACAACTCCCGGTGGAAGCAGGTGGGGGCTTGCCCCTAAACTCGCCTGCTCATGGGCTCCATGACCCTCCCTGGGCCTGGTGACCCCATCGGTGACGGGCTCAATTCCTCCTCTACCCCGGCAGGATCGGCCTGGGCTCTCCGCCCTCTGGCTCCCCCTCGCCCTCAGGTACCTGCTTGTCCTTGCCTTCCGCGTCCTCCTCCCCCTTGCTCATCCAGCCCCTTTTATCCTGCCCCTAGCCATCTTCCCTTGCTTCCGTGTGCCCGGTATCCCCCTTCCCCGGCGCACCGGTAATGTCATCACCGAGCGCCACTGCGTGGCGTCTTCCCTGCTCTCGGGCCGGCCGGCCGCAGCCCTCCCCAGTCCCCCCCTTCCTGGGGGCTGTCCGGAGGTGGGTCCCCCTGGGTCGCCGGGGCTGAACCCGCAGCTCCTGCAGCCGCGGACGATCCTTCTGCCCGCGGCTGGTGACGGGGTTGCTCCACCCCGTCACACCTGCCCTGGGCTGCCAGGCCTCGCAGGGCTCCACCACTTCTAGGCTACTGGGCTCCCAACTCCATGGCCAGCATGGGCCACTGGATTCCCAGATCCACTCTCTGCTGCTCCCAGGGCTCTCTGGTACAGGGGATTTCTGGTCCAGCAACATCCCATGGTCCTGTCTGACCACAGATGTTTCTAGACCAGAGACCTGGACCAGAGAGGTTCAACCTGTATTAGCTTTGAAAAGTCATGGAAGAGGAGCAAGATTCCAGAAGAATGGAAAAGAGCAAATATAATGTCCATCTATAAAAAAAAAGGGAAATAAAGACAAACCAAGGAATTACAGATCAATCAGGATTTGAATATCTTTTATAGCTAATAATTTCTGGCCCAAAACTGTTACTGTCTTCTTCCTTACTACTTTGGTGCAGATGTATCAAGAAATGCACTTGTACAAAGTAGCTCAAACCACACAGTCTTATTGGCTTCTTCTCATGGTTTCACAGAATTTACTTCTGTAGATTTTATAATTTCAGAACTAAACAGTAAGAAATCACTAATTCCAGGAGGAAGTGAACAGTCTGATAAAATGGTTAATCTAATGAAGTCTTGGGCATCACAAACAGGACTAGATATTAACTATAGGCCCATCCTAAAGAAGACAAAAAATAAAACAAAAATTACACAGCCAAACTTTTTACAGCACTTTACAGAGGCCCACAAAGAGCCTTCTAAAAGTGGGTAAACAATATTATCTACATTGTAAAAATGGGGAAACACAGGGCCTATCTAACACTACCCACCGGATCAATGGGCATCAAACAATCCAGCAAGGGTCAATTCATTGTGTCTTGTATACATGCGATAAACTGACTACTGGACACTTTCCTGTTGATCCTGGTACTCCACCACACTGAGAAGATTAAGTAGAGTTGAAGGGAGTGAATCTGCCATCTACTCACCACTGTAAGTAGATAAACAAAGCACTGTGGGCCCACCAGTGGCTTCCCTGGGTTGTCCCGCGATCCAACTTTAAAAGCCACTATATATTTTGTAAAGTATGACTTGTGAACTATCATTTGAATATTCAGTCTTCTGGATATTATTATCCTGTTAAAATATGTGACACAACAATGGATGCAAATTATGAGATGTTGCTATACAAATGTTACTAAACTATGTTCTGGTGCTAGAGCATGCCCACAGACTTACTGTTCAGACATAAAGAGCTGACCACAGGTATTAAACTATTAGCTGCTTAACCAGCCATTCTCCAAGGAGAAAAAGAAATTTACATTTTATCCCAGAGACTATTAAAATCTCATGTACACAGGGGACTGTTATACATCTCAGCAGGGGGTAATCCTGAAAGAGAAAAGGAGGAGGATATAAGACAAGAACATAAGAATGGCCGTACTGGGTCAGACCAAAGGTTCATCTAGCCCAGTAGCCTGTCTGCCGACAGTGGCCAGCACCAGGTGCCCCAGAGAGGGTGGACCGAAGACAATGATCAAGCAATTTGTCTCCTGACATCCTTCTCCAGCCTCTGACAGACAGAGGCCAGGGACACCACTTCTATCCTCTGGCTAATAGCCTTTTATGGACCCAATCTCCGTGAAATTATCTAGCTTCTCTTTAAACTCTGTTATAGTCCTAGCCTTCACAGCCTCCTCTGGCAAGGAGTTCCACAGGCTGACTACATGCTGTGTGAAGAAGAACTTCCTTTTATTACTTTTAAACCTGCTACACATTAATTTCATTTGGTGTCCTCTAGGTCTTCTATTATGGGAACTAATAAATAATTTGTCTTTATCCGCCCTCTCCACACCACTCATGATTTTATAAACCGCTATCATATCCCCCCTCAGTCTCCTCTTTTCTAAACTGAAAAGTCCCAGTCGTTTTAACCTCTCTTCATATGGGACCCGTTCCAAAACCCTAATCATTTTTGTTGCCCTTTTCTGAACCCCTTCCAAGGCCAAAATATCTTGATAAGAGACCGTGACCTCCACATCTCCCCACTTTTCCTCCCATCTCTCTGTTTATAACATAGATGAACACCTGCAGGTCTCTAAAATGGGGGAATGGATCCTGGCTGAAATGAAATCCAGTCAGTTGCAGCTTACGGAGAGAGAGACATTTTGCTTTTACATTCATTTAGGTATTAATTTGTGTTTTTATTTCTTCTGTAACCAATTCTGACTTCTATTCATTATCACTTGTAATCACTTAAAATCCATCTGTAGTTAATAAACTTGTATTATTTAGTGTATTTGGATTAAAGTGTTTGAGGCACACTATGTAGGATGACAAGACTGATTCATAATCATTACCCAGTGCTGGAATGAAGGATTTACTAAGATCTTAAACCATCCAGGAGGTACTGAGCAAGCAAAATGCACATTTCTGGGGAACATGGCTGAGACTGAAGAATATGTGGGTATTGCCAAGAATGTAATTCATTAATGGCTGGGAAAGCATTCATATAACATAGCTGGGAGTGATTTTACATGCTAGTGGCTATATATAAGCAGGACTGGGAGCAAGGACTGTTAACAGCAAAGCAGTATAAAAGGCTCCCTGGATTACAAAATTAAGGGGGTAAAGCTATTCAACAGTCCAGATTGTCCCATTGGGAATGTCACAGAGGGTCAGAACCAGAATCAGAGGCTCTAAAAATCACCAAGTCAAGTGTCAAGACAGAGTTAGAGCCAGGAATCCAAGCCACAGGTCAGAACTGTATTACCTGGAGTCAAGGAAAACAGTAGCAGGGCTGGGTATGAGACAAGAATGAGGATAGGACAGGGCTGAAATAAGGGACTACTGAGACTGAAGTATGGCAGAGAAGTAGGATTTCCAATGCTATATTTCAAAAAGAGACTGCTTTCTTAGCATCCCACCTCTCCTCCTGGAATTATCATTAATAAATAAGCAGAACTCACCTACATTTACCCAGGCCAGGGTATTTTTGCTGTTTGTTGCAGAACTCAGCAACTCCTCATTTTGTTGTACAGAATGAAGAAATAAGGGACAACTCTTATAATGAGGTACTATTGGCAGCCCTACAAAAGTGGAATTGAAACATGGGAGGGACAGAGATTAATGCAGCCACAATCAAATGCTTTGAGCAGGCAGTGCCCTGCTGTTGCCCTGCAGAGCAGGCGTGCTGATTTGTTTAGCCAACTTGGGGAAAGAGGGTGTGTAACCAAACAGACAACTCAGTTGGAGGTCCAGATGTGCTCATTATATTATCTGGGGGTTAAACTGGCAGATAAGCAACCCACCTGCAGCCACTTACATATGACAGGCACAGGGAGGTCAAACAACTTGCCCAAAGTCTTTCAGTGAGTCAGTAATAAGACCAAGGCTTTGCAGCCTCAAATTAGATCATACTTCCTCTGTCTCTTTTTTTAAAAACATCTTGTCCCTGATCAGGGTTTGGCCCTTCCAAAACAGCCATTGAAAATATTTTATTCTGTGACTCAACTACCTAATATAAGACAGGCCAATTGGTTAATAATGTTTATTAAATTCACTCTGGATTTTTTTTAATCTTAGGATCTCCTTTCGGTTTTGTGAGGGGAGCTCGTGCAGACCTCCACTGGCTCCTTCAGCAATGCCAACCGAGGATGTAATATGGTAGTCAATTAACCAATTAACAGATAAGCAAAAGCTTATAGGTTAATGCTATAGAACACATGCATTTCCCCCCTCCTCCTGCCAGTACATTTTTTAGCATGCTGGCTAGCAGCCTTGCTCAATCCTGGCTTGCATTGGGTCCAGGACCTGCCCTCACTGCAGCTCTGCATTTAAAGTATATTAGGAGCCAAGGCAGGCAGGCAGCCCAGCTCAGTTTTGGCTCACACCAAGTCCAGGAGCTCAGACTTGCCCCTGGATAGGGGCTGCTGTCACCCCCCTGCTGATCCATGAGGAGAGCTGGTTTTTAAACTGGTTCCCCTCGCAGACCA